CCGACCAAACTGTGCAGCTCTGCAACTGCATCCTGGCCCATCCTCACCCTTCTGCCCCCAACCCTCACCTCCTTGTACCCCCAATATGTTTTTCCCAATTAAAAAAAAGAAAAAAGTAATTTTGGGGACAGGTTGGGAAGGGGAGGAAAGCACCAGGTTAAGAGTTTGAGGATGAAAGGGGGGGGGAAGAAATTAGAGAAGATTAAGTGGGGACCTGAAAATACAGGACAATTGTAGGCATACATCAAGGTGGTCTATTTTACGAAAAACAACATACATCATTGTTAGACAGTTTGTATAAATTTTGTATGTAAACCAATCTAAAATTTAAAAAAGGGGGGTGGAGAATTTTTGTTCCATTAGTTTCTACTTGCTAGGATTCTCAGGTCTCTCCTGCTATATATTCTTTATATAAACTCCACCTTGGAATTCTCTCTCCTACAGAGATCGCTACCTGTCCTAAGGCGAAGCACCTTCTTCCACTTTTCTGTAGCACCAATTTCACTTCTTTGGATTCAAACCAAGGAGCTCTGGTGATTGAGTCCATTTTATACGGGCTGCCACCCCCAGAATCAACAGTGCTGACCTTAACCTCTACTAGCTATTATAAACCTGCAAGTCTCTTGCGACTCATAGCGACCCTATGTACAACAGCCCTAAACTCTGCTCTGTCTTGTTCCAGTCTCACTGTCTCCGACACTCCCATCCCGATTACCCCAGTCACTGAATCAATCCACCTCTTAGAGGGTCTTCCCCTCCTGCACCGTCTCTCCACCCTCCCCAGCATGATGTCCTTCTCCAAGGACCAGTTTCTCCTCACAACATGTCCAAAGTATGTTCAGTGTGGTCCCTTTATTCCCAGGCGTTTTTGACATGGTTTTATATTTACCACGTTCTAGTGATTATTTTTTCCATTGTAGGATTTATTTGCTAAGCAGTTTCTTTAATCCATTTAATGAGTACAACAGATTAACTGGGAGATTGGGGAGCTCTGGTGGCCAAGGGGCAAGAGGCCAAACTGCCATTACTAAGGCAGGAGGTTTGAGTCTTCAGCCACTCCATGGGCCAAGGACCGGCATTCTCCCGGGCAATTAGTGCCTCTGAAAACCCATTGGAGGGTCATGGAGGGGTCCTCTCCATCTCATCCGTACACAACAACAACAGATAATCATTTAATTCATAACAGAATTTACTTCGTAACTGAATAAGCAACGTGTTGAACATCATATTACAACTTGACAAGACGTATGTTTAAACAGGTTGAGCCTATGAAGTTTTTACAAGTGTTACATTCCTGTTTTCCTGTGAACACATTGAGTTTATGTGTGATTACGCAGGAATATTTACTGACCTCTTACCTCTAGTGAATGTATCTGGTTTTTTCCTGTTAAGTTTCATGGGACAGCAAACATTAAATATTGAAGTCACTGAGATCCATTATTGATGGAGATAGTGACGTCAATTCTAGAGAAACCTTTATTTCATTATGCCTGTTCCCACCGTAGGGTTCTAGCAACACGCCGCCCCAAAGGCTATGCTGTTAGCTGGCAGCTCTGTGATGTTTACTGAGGTCGGAGCTGGGACTGGAGACGTGCACAGGCACTGTGTTCACAGGACTTTTTCTCCTCCAGCAGAGCAATGCTGTGTGCTGAGATGACCATTCCTGTGGTTTGCCCTATGTGTGTTAATTGAAATAATTTTAGATGCAGAGGGGAAATCTGCCCGCAATCCTAACATGGCTATGACAACACAACACTTGGACAAGGTGCTCTTCATCTTGGAGGATTTCAGAGACTCCTCCACTGAAATGGTCTGTCACCTACTGAGACCCATGATGGCTGGGCATTCGATTTTCCACACTCACTACCGGAAAAGGAAGTTTCTGCTGTGAGAAATCTTCGACGCTTTGCAAGGCATGACTTTGGTTGCAGTCTGCACCAAATTTGAGGCTTTCTCTCTAGTATGAATTTGCTGATGAACAATGAGTCTTGGATCTGAGATCTTTTCCACACACACCACACAGGGAGTGTTTCTCCCCTCTATGAGTCTCTTGCGAATAATGAAACTTCCAGTCTGAATGAAACCTTTGCCAGACTTGGCACACACGAAGGATGTCTCCCAAATGGGAGTGTGTTGATGGCGAGTAAAGTCAGTTTTCCTAAGGAATGCTTCTCCATGGTCAGCACACACATAGGATTTCTCTCCAGTATGAGTTTGCTTGTGAAGAATTGAGATTTCCTTTCTGAATGAAACCTTTTCCACAACTGGTGTGCACACAGGGTTTCTTCCCAGTGTGAATGTGCTGGTGTAACGTGAGCTCTGTCTACATTGACTGCATTTATGGGGTTTTTCCCCAGCGTGGATTCACTCATGGAACCTAATGACATTCTTCATGGTGAATCCTTTGCCACATTCCTTCCACACGTGTGGTTTCCCCTCTGTGCATTTGCGGATGAACAGTGAATTAGGACTTCTAGGTATAATATTTCCTACAGTCACTACAGACATGAGATTTACTTTGAGTTTTCTGATTCTTGTGGAGGTGGACCTGGGTGCTCTTAGATTCTCACTCTCAAGGAAAATCGTTTCAGTGCAAAACTGGTCACAGTCCCTGTGGAGCAAGGTTTTCTCATCTCCAGTAAGCTCAGAAGAGTGATTTAGTTGATGGTAAATTTAAATTGGACTTCACAGATTTTTCAGGTAACTCAAACAGGTGGTGATTTCCCATGAAATGAAAATGAGTTCTGTGCTGATGATCAGTATTTGTGAGTGAAACAAGGTCACTGCCATGTTGCCGTCTGCCTAATCTTTTTTAATTCAGCAACAGCCCAAGAGAAAAGAGGGAGGAAGAAGCAAAATCCTAAGACCTTGGCTTTTAGGGAGCTCTAGTGGTCTAGTCGTAAGAAGCTGGACTGCAATCCCTCAGGTACCCGGTTCTAAGCCGCCAGATGCTCTGCTGGAGAAGGAGGGGCAATCTCCTGTACCAGTCGGATCCGATTTGACCGTACATGCAAAGAAAATGTTAAAAAAATTACACACACGGAAAACCTGTGGGATCCCAAGAGAGCCCCAAGATCGTGGTCACACCATTACAGGTCCCTCTGTTCTTCAATACAGGTGGTCCTTGTGACTTGTTTAATGCCGTCGAGTTGTAGACGACTCATAGCGACCCTATGAACGAACAGCCTGAGCACTGTTCATACATAGAGTTTCCAGAGGCAAGCCATTTTGGAAGTGGATGTCGCTCCTGCTTCCAGACTTGATTTAGTCGGGAAGCTCCAGCCAACACTGTCCACCATGGGTGCCCATTACCACGATTGGCACAGATGTGACTTACTCCTAGCTAATCAATGTGGCAAAGGTGATTCCATTATACTAAATATATTACTTTCGTTGTGCTGGTTGGCTTACATGGAATAAGATAGCACCCCAATGCTGTGGCTTCCCCTGGCCAACACACCATGAGAAACACAGGTTGTCATTGCGGACTAAAGACATGGAAAAGTGATTGTCCTGACCAGGTTCACTGAGTCTGAACTGTAACTGACAGTGACTGCATAGGAGTGTACAAGTACCCCTGGAAGTCTCCCCTGTTGTTACGAGCCCCCTTGTTTCTGAATAACCAAAACCCTTAAGGGGTGTAGCTGTACTCACAAACGTGTGTCCGTCTTTAAATCTACGATCACGCCATTCCCGCATCCTCCGATCCCGACCTCACCGAGTCCTCCATCAGCGGGACCCACGTGCACATCTGACAGCTCCCGCATCCCACCCGCACCTGCTGCCCTCACGACTCACACGGAACCACGTTCGCGCGCACTCCTTGCAAAATAAGGACACAAACGGACTTGTTTTCTTACTTGTTCAGGAGTTTCAAAAAGTTCCATGTTCAGGGAACAAATCACTAGTCACTGGGAAAACTCCACCCTACGGTGGCCGGCGAGGGACAACCATTCTGGAGGCGCACGGACAAGGAATTCCGGTCTGCTTCCGGAAGTAGTATCTCCGACCGCAGGGAGTCCACACGGGGGCGGCCATGTTTGCACAGCTGCCGTATGTACGGAAGGGAAAGCATTGTGCCGCCAAAACCCATTACCCAAACCATTCAGCCGGAGATCAATCCGAGAGGAGGGACTACAACTCTGTAGGGCTTTTCAGGCTTTGATCTTAAAGCTCATCACTATCACTACGTCTCCCTGCTGTGATCAGCCAGTAAGGCAGCTCTGGGGGTCGAGTGGTGAGAAGCTGAGCTGCAATCCCGAAGGCACGTGGTTCGAATCCAATCTCCTCCTGGGCCAGTGGGATCGTATTCAACGGTACACAACAAAAAACGTACACACACACACACACACACACACACACACACACACACACACGAGACCTTTAATCCAATGTGCCACCCAATGCGAACCCAGAAAAAAGAAACAGGAGTCTTGCACTTTTACAATGATTGCGTGATCTGCTGCAGAAATGGCTATTGGACTTTGGCGAGAAATTGTCATACAAGCTTTTGGGATTTCGTTTTTCAGTTGTGATTTGAGTGCAAAATTAAAATGCATCATGGCTCTTTCATACAATGGGCCATCAGCACTTTATTTAAGGTAAGTGGCTGGAAGTTTTATTTTTGGAAACTTTTTTCTCTTAATATTTGGAGACTATATTTGATCCGGGCCATGGTCTTTGCAATTACTTGCTATGCATCTGAAAGCTGGGCAATGACTAGGGAGGATAGAGAATTGATACATTTGAGCTGTGGTGCTGGAGAAGAGTGTTGAATATACTGTGGACTGCTAAGAAAACAAGTATCTTGCCTACGGCCCTGCTCAGGCTCCTGTTATCAAGGTCTTTAGCTCTACAGAAAGGTACCCAGAGGCATCACACTCCACCAGCAAGCCTCTCATTTCATGGGATGGGCAGCCCACTGCCCTGTCCAATGTTCCTATGTTGGTTCTGCTGCCCGTACTCTGCCATTTCTCACTGCCCCCTGGATTGAAGAAGTTCCAGGGTCCTAAATACAGCTCCCTGTTGCAGACCGAGGGTACTTTTATAAGTACGAATAATGAGACAGATCACCAAGAACGTAGGAGAAGAACAGAGGTGAAGCAGGAGGTGAACAGTTCTAGAACAACTAAAGTGCCAATTCCAGCTTCTCTGTCTTTATTGAAAACTACCAGGGAGTAAATTACAAAGAGAATCCAATGCAGGTGAAGCTAAGCTTTTGCTGCTGAAAACCATCTGCTTGATTCATTGTATTTCAGCAAATAAAATGCAAGAATTCTGTAAACGCTTAAGGATTGTCTTAGTGCTTCAGGATTAATTCCAGCTGGTACCAGCCTCCCTCATATCCTGAAGTAGCATTCTGTTTATTACAAATATTTAGTATGAAATTTGGCTTCCCATAAAAGACCCAGGAGAGTAAAAATCTTTTGAACTCAAGATCTAAGGCGTTCCCTAAGAGTCAACATTGCTCTTAGTTTGGTCTTATCTGCAAAAGACTTCAGCATGATCCTTTGGTTCTGTTTTATACTTCCTTATGATTCTCAATACTCAGAAAAGCATGGCTTGGGGCCTTCAGTCAGGAGAACTGCTGGCACCCTGTTTTTCATGCTCTCTGTTCTATATCATTCCTGGTAGACTGTCTCATTATTAATAAAGTTATTCCATCATTTGGGACCCTTAGTCTGCAACACTCGTGAACCTCCAAAATGTGTCCTTTCAAGAGCAGGCGAAGTTTAGTGGCCACAAAAACAATCTGGGTCCCATGTACACAAATCCAGCTACCATAGCAACCAGGCGAGTTACCATGGCAACCCATCTGGTAACCATGGCAACAAGCCAGATCTATAGCTTCTGCATCTTCAAAACTATCCCATAACCTCCATAGCCTCTCTCTTAACCTTGCAAAAGGATTCCTCACTTCCAAAAACCTCTTTATGGTCATCATTTCAGTGTGAGATGGCTGGGGCTAGCTGCAGGACCCATTGAGTCCTGGGTTTGAATCTTATGGGAAGCCAAACTTTATACCAAATATTATATGAAAACCCTTGTTCAGGAATTAAAGGAATTACAGGTTTATAAGTTAGGATTTCTCTTGTGGCAGATCCTAGAAAATGAGCTGTTTGTTCCCTGCAATACAGGAGACAGCAAGGGCCCCCCTGCAGAGAGAGTGTTACTTCCTGAGCTAGTGTTCACCCTGAGGCATCAAGGTTAATAGTTAAGGGTAAACCAAATTCTTGCATTTGTGAACCCCTCCCTCCTGAGTCAAGCAGAAGGTTTTCAATAGAAAGAGTTTGGCTTCATTTGCATTGACTTCTCTTTGTGATTTACTTCCTGATAATTTTCAATAAAGACACAGAGAAGATTGGCTTGGGGGCTTCAGTTGAGAACTGCTGGCCCCCTGTTTTATGCTCTCTGCTCTATCTCATTCCTGGTTGTTTGCCTCTTTATTAATAATTATAAAATTATTCCATTCTTTGGGACCCTTGGTCTGCAACACAATCTGCCAGATGCTTCGCTGGGAAAGAATGGGCAATATCTTCCTGTGCCAGTCAGATCTGACTCAACAGTACACAATGAAAGGAAATGAGAGGGGGTGAAGGGGAGGGAGAGATAGGTGAGAGAAGAGAGGGGAGGGGAGGCGAGGGAATGGGACAGGGGAGAGAGAGGGAGGAAGGAGAGGAGAAAGAGAGGGGAGAGGAGGAGGGGGAGAGGGGAGAAGGAAGAGGGGAGAGGAGGAGAGAAAGGCTCATTTCTCATTCCCCTACAATCATTTAGGCAATGGTCTCCGCAAGGACTCTGAAACTCCCCTGGCTTCAGTCCTCAAAAAGTGAGGGTTTTTTTGCCACAATCAACAGCATAGTGTTCTTTTGGGGTCCAGGGTTTTGCTGGTTTACTGTGTTCTCATAGTTCCATGGACATTTTTCCAGTGGCCTATTTCCTACAGATGGCACAATGGCTGTAGAGGATGCTGCTTTGGCCCTAGCCAGCCCCTCTCTTTCTATGCCTTTTACTCCACGTTTCCTGGACACAAAGCTTTTAACTTGTCCTGCCTGGGAGAAGGTTGGTGCAGGTACAATGCTCTATGCTTTTCACTTTCTAACCCACCTCTCTCTCCTCCAGGTACAAAGCGGGGTGGGGGGGGGAAGAAGGGGGCCAGTATTTGCTATTTCCAGGAGCTGTGTGTCACCCATGCCTGCAAATCTCTTTATTTCTGGAGTTTGTGCCTGATGTCCCCTGAACTTTGGAATACAAAAGCAGGGCTAACCATTCTTTTATATTGCTGAACTAAAAAGGATGCAGATTCCAAAGGCTCCCCAGAATCGCTCATAAAAGCTTTCAGCTAGCTCTTCTTTAACTTCAGCCACCTTGCCAACTGTATCTGCATTTACTGTTCCCTTAACTTTCACTTCCCTCAGTGGTCTCTAGGTGGCTTGGGGGAGCATGTGGGTGGAACCATGAGTGGAGCAGAGGGGACTAACGGGGCTTAGTTTCCAGAACTGTGTGTTGGGGGGAGATTCTCATGCATCCATGGAGGGAGGGAGATTAGGACTAAACTCTTTGTACTATGGAGGGGCAGTCTCCTGCACCTTTACTGGTGGGTTACTCTGGCCAAGGTATAGGTGCCATAGTACTGGAGGCAGGACACCCCTGGGAAAGGCTGGGGGCTGGGGAGACACCTGCACAGACGTGAGTCTCAGGAGATGCCTGCTTCCACAGACCCCTTTAGGAGGGTGTCTTGGCAGAGGCAGCCCCCTTCTTTCCTGAGGCGGTCAGTAGGCCCAGCTTCTTGGGCAGACTGCAGTTGACTTTCTCCATGGCATCATGCTCAATCTTCTTCAGGCTCCCAACTTCCAGGTTCTTCTTGAGATTTTGCTGCTGAAACACATGCAACTTCTTAGAGGAAAGAACACAACAGCCGTTCCCTCAGACAGCAAGCAGTTCTGTTCCGAAGCTGTGTCCTCTGCAGTCTTGCTCTGTCCTGGCTTCTAGACTTGGAACTTGTGCTGTACCCCCACGATGGCCGCACGGCGGCTGTTAAAGGAAGATGGGTGGTATCTTTGTCAAAC